CTCCTTCCTTCCTTCCTTCCTTCCTTCCTTCCATCTCCATCTCCATCCCTTCCCCTTCAATCTCTCTCCTTCCTTCCTTCCTTCCTTCCCCTTCAATCTCCTTCCTTCTCCATCTCCTTCCTTTCCCCTTCAATCTTCCTTCCTTCCTTTCCCCTTCAATCTCCTTCCTTCTCCATCTCCTTCCTTTCCTCTTCAATCTTCCTTCCTTCCTTCCATCTCCTTCCTTCTCCATCTCTTTCCTTTCCCCTTCAATCTTCCTTCCTTCCATCTCCATCTCCATCCCTTCCACTTCAATCTCTTTCTCCTTCTTTCCTTCCTTTCCCCTTCAATCTCCTTCCTTCTCCATCTCCTTCCTTTCCCCTTCAATCTTCCTTCCTTCCTTCCCCTTCCCTCCCTCCCAACATTTTTGAGCAAGGAAGAGTAAGCTTCTCCAGCAAGCATTGCTATATTGTTTTTGTGATTAATCACTATGCTTCAATTCGTAACAATGAAAATACACCCTGCATATCAGATATTTACATTACTATTCATAACAGTAGCAAAATTACAGTTATGAAGTAGCAACGAAAATAATTTTATGGTTGGGGGTCACCACAACATGAGGAACTGTATTAAAGGGTCGCGGCATTAGGAAGGTTGAGAACCACTGATATAGAGAAATCTGTGGGTGCCAAAGGAAACGTGGCTTGGTCTCTACAGCAGAACTGAATGATTTTTTATGGGGGCTAACACTTAACAAACTACAAGAGGCAATGATTACAAATAACAGCATTTGTAGGCTGGGAAAGTCAGTGACATCAAAATGACAGATTTGACTGGGCCACTGAAATGCACAACCCTTGCGCTAGATGCAAAATAGTTACATTCTGAAAATAAATTTGAACAAATTTTCCTGTGGTTTTTTTTCACCCTTTGTTTGCCTAAGATTATTTTGGATTCCTGTTAAGGGCTTTATGTGTTTCCTGTTTCAAAGTGGTGGGAAATCAATTGATAGTTCTGGCTGTATCCTTGGCAAATATCAAATGTAGTGATCTGATGCACTGTTACATTAGAGTAACTTTTCACAAAATTCTAATGGCACACTGTTATTTCTTTCTAGGACTGCCTACCCTGAAGCATGGTCTCCATTGCTTTTCAAATCATGGGCATGGCCCTGTCTGTAGTGGGCTGGATTGGGGCCATCATCACGTGTGCCTTGCCTATGTGGAAAGTGACGGCTTTCATTGGTACCAACATTGTGACAGCCCAGACCACTTGGGAGGGGCTGTGGATGAACTGTGTGGTGCAGAGCACTGGCCAGATGCAATGCAAGGTCTATGACTCCATGCTGGCTCTGCCTCAGGATATACAAACCGCCCGGGCTCTCATGGTCATCTCTGTGCTTCTGGCTCTCTTAGGCCTGATGGTTGGCGTCATGGGTGCCAAATGCACCAACTGTGTGGAGGAGGAAGACGTCAAGGCACGTATTGTCATTGTCGCCGGGGCCATCTTTGTGGTATCAGGAATTCTTTGCCTCATCCCAGTCTGTTGGTCAGCCAATACTATAATCCGGGAGTTCTACAGCCCATTAGTTGTGGAGGCTCAGAAGAGAGAGCTGGGCTCGTCCCTCTACCTTGGTTGGGCAGCGGCTGCTTTGATGATCCTTGGAGGAGGATTGCTGTGCTGCAGTTGCCCCAAGAAAGAGAGCAACAACTACAGTGCTCGATACACAGCTGCTGTCTCTCAACCCCACAGTGATTACCCCAGCAAGAACTATGTTTAAGAGAATCACATTGTGATGATGCTGTTGCCATCCTGAAAGCTCATTACTGGTGGATTCCCTGAGAGCAGCAGAACTGCATAATGAACATCCCTAAGGAGAGCAGAGCATCCTGCTCCACAACTTCTCAACATTTCTGGCCCATCAGTGTTTTTTTCTCACTGTTACCACTAGATAGTTTTATTCCCACCTGTTTCAGCTCTTCTTTTGAAGAGAATCCTTGATTTGTGATAGAAGAATTCAGTATAGGTAGATAGGTATTGAATCAATGTCCTATTTTCAAGTGGTTTGTGATAAATGCCTTTGTGTGTTCTTGCCTTCTCCTCTCCATTACACAATCCTAAATAGCCCGTAATGGCTCAGAGATCACATCCTGTTCAATGGGATGATGTGGGGTGGGGTGGAGGTGGAAATAGTTACTCTATATCTATGTTTTTGAAGCTGTGATATGTTGTACAGTATTTTATGAAGAAAGGGGATGTGGCCTTTTAGACCTGTTGTTGTTTTTAATTATTTTGCAATTGCTCTTGCATGCATTTCATACTGGAAGCCAGTTTTTTCCTCTTTTTTTAAAAAAAAATATAACCTGAATAAAATTAATGCTTTTGTATATAGCAGCTTGCCTTAGTCGTTTGTGTACGTGTGTTTGTAACTCTGGTGTTAACCTGAGAATCTACTACTGGAAAAAAAGTCTTTCTTTTTTTGGTGTCATGGACTCAAAGCTTTTATCATGTGGTTCTTTCTTTTTTATTGAAGCTGAATGCGAGGGTGGATGGTTTTTCACAATAGGGCATTCCCAAAGTAGCAAGACATGCATGGCAGAAGGGCAGAATAGAAAGAATGATCTGTGTGGGAGGATTACTCTCATAATAACTACATTTCTTTGTCTAAAAGAAGGCAGGAAACCATGATGGTGAATAGTTGAATGGGGACACCCCCCCACACACAAACTTTGTTGTGGTGGTTATTATTGCTGGGTTCATAGATAAGTCATAATGTAATTTACAGGGTTTCAATTTAGAACAATATTCCTCAACCGTGACAACTTAGGTTGCCATGGCTGACTAGGGAATTCTGCAAGTTGAAATCCACATATCTAAGTTGCCAAGGTTGAGAAACACTGATCTAGAGTGCTGTAGGAACTTAGATAGCTGAAGCTTATTCACTAACCATCCCAGCCCAGTTAGGTGCAGCATCCAACCAACTTCAGTTTAGCTCAAAGAGCTAAATGAGATTGATTCTGATCAGTAGAACTCTACACTAGATTGGAATGAGTTTCTGTACTATGGTCAGGAAAAGAACTAGTGGTCTATGAATATACCCCGAGCTCAGACTAACATAGCCTTTACAGTATGTGCCTAGTCTTCCTCAAATCTGGAGTTATTTAGAAATGGTGATTTGAACTCCCAGAATTTCTTAAGCAATATGGCCATTGCTGAGAATTATGGGAATTTTAAATCCATAATATGGAGGGTGGTCAAATGGGAGATAGCTGCAATATATCATAAGTAGGCAAGCTGTTACTACTACATATGAACCCAGTTTGAATCTGTTTATATGTTTATCCATGATCTGTTTACTCAATAAACTACAACTAACTAGGTTCATATCTGCTGTGCTCTGTGGCTGAGTTTGCACAACACATTGCCACAAAACCAAATAAACCATGCAGCGACATTTATAATGAACCACCATGATACTAAAATACCGATGTGTAATGATATCATTGTGAAAATGTTTATTTTACATTAGATATCACGTATGGTATTTACCTTTCTTTATTCCCTTGAAGTCATTCATGACCATGGATGTCTACAAAGTGGCATCCCATTCATCATGATGTCACCCAAACAAGTCAAATTATATAATTTGTGGGGTGGCACTGTGATGTCATGGCATCATCGTCTCTTCTATCAGTTTGCCCATGGCTACAGCTCTACTCATCCAGCACAATCATTGGGCAAAGTCTGGAGGTGATGGAAAGTATATCATGAAGACCACTATGTTGGGGAAAGACATTTGTAGGTTACATTATCAACTCTGACTGAAAGTTGTATTTTTTTTTGTAAAGGTAACTGTTTCCCCTGTCCAGTCTTTTCTGACTCTAGTGGGCAGTGCTCATCTCCGTTTCTTAGCTGAGGGAGTCAGCGTTGTCCAAAGATACTTCCATGGTCATGTGGCCAGCATGGCTACATGCCAAGGTGCACGGAATGCTATTACCTTCCCACCAAAGTGGTACCTATTTACCTACTTGCATTTGCATGCTTTCGAACTGTTAGGTATGCAGGAGCTAGGACCAGTAATGGGTGCTCACCTCATCATGCAGCACTCAGATCTCAAACCTGGGCAATGAACTTTCCAACCGACAAGTCCAGCATCTTTAACTGCTGAGTCATCGCACCCTCTTTTTTCGTACATGGTGCCCATTTTTTGTTCTGTCTCCATCAAAGTAATATTGGGTTTTCAGAACTTTTTACAGAACTCCTTCCAGAATAGCTAAGTATTATCTATCAGGGGCATCTAGAGAGATTCAGGTTGAAAAAGGCTGATGGAGACTCCAAATGAGGCTGATGGATTAAAGTCTTCATCCTGGTTCATCCAAACCGGGGACAAATAAACAACATGGCGACTGCTTTGGGAAGAAGGTTACAGTTTATTGAAGAGGCAGAAAGATGGTTCTTGCAGGACAGACCAGAAGAAAGAAGGGCTGAGCACATGGGTAGTAGGTTTTTATACCCTCTCTAGCCTTTTGTTTGGAATAGTTTCCTGTTTCTGTGGTATGAACTTTGAACTGAGTCTGAGTGCTTTTCTAGGCCTTGGTATCTGTGGTTTAATCCTATTATGTCCCAAAAGTCATATCCTGCTTCCCTGGGGCTGGGCTAATGACTCTTAGAGTTTGGGTGAGGTATGCAGATTTTAAGTCTCTTTGTCTTCTTGAGTTTTCTGGCTCCAACTTTCTGATGGTTTTACATTTGCATTTGTATAAGGCTGGCTCCTGTTTGGGATAGAGAGATTTGGGGGCAGAGTTGGCTTCTGCTTTTAAAAAATCCTTTTGAGGAAAAAAATCTATTTTTCTGCCCTTTTAATATTTTCTTCTCTGGGGCTCTGACTTCCCACACGGCAAAGCTCTCTCTCATGCTTAAAGTCCAAGTCTCATCTCTCTGCAAGAGAAATGGGCTGAGCAAAAATCTGTTCTAAACTGTATAACATGGGTTTCCAACCTTTTGGCTTGCCTGGGCTGCATTGAGTGAAGAGCATAATATTGCTAATGTATGGAAATATCTCTAAAAATCACATAGCAATGTTAAAAGTTTACAATCTTGTAAAGCATTAGAAGCTGTCCAGGGCGCATGCAGCCTATGGGCCATGGGTTGGACATGCCTGCTGTATAGCTTAGGATATCTGAAAATCATCATATTGCAGGAAGTTGAATTAAGTAATTTTTTTTTTAGTTCCGTCCACTGGTTTTAATGGAAGGAGCTTGCAAATTAGTAGAATAGATCCTAGGGCTGGGAATTGTCCAGAATCAATTCCCTAGATAATTGTGGTTTAATTAATTATTTAATAATTATTAATTAATTAACCTTGATTAAACAGTTATATATTAGGACAGGATGTTAACCCAAGAGAACCAGTTTGGTGTTAACCCAAGAGAGCCAGTTTGGTGTTAACCCAAGAGAGCCAGTTTGGTGTAGTGGTTAACTCAGCAGGTTAGAAACAGGAGATTGTGAGTACTAGTTCTGCCACAGGCACAAAGTCAACTATATGATCCTGGGACAGTCACTCTCTCTCAACCCTAGGAAGGAGGCAATGGCAAAACCACCTCTGAAAAACCTTGCTGCGGAAGCTGCAGGGAGTAGTCCAGGCAGTCAGCAGGAATCAACACTGCCTTGTAGGCACAATTAAAAAAAAATATTAACCCAATCATTGTGTACAAGCTTTGGACAACAAGGAGTCATGGACGGGTTGCTTACATGAAAAGAAGATCTTTATCTTTAGGCTTGAAACATTCAAGTTTAGGGTAATGATTCCATTTCTCCTCCCATCTGCCCCAGGCTAAGAATTTGGAAAGCAATTTTTTGAAACAGTAAACAAGGTCTTCACACAAGGGAATTGCTATGCAGGTTCTGAGGTTTTGCTTGATAAAAAATACAGGAAACCAGAAGTTACCTTCAAGCTTTACGTTTTTATTCAGCTGAACAAAGACAGGCTTCTCTAAAAGAGAGAAAAAGCACCAAATATTAGAAAAACCTTATTTTTATACCTTCTTTGATTACATAAGAAATTCACCCAGCAAAGCTGACACACATAAGATAAAGACCTCGCCCTTTAAGGCTGGCACACTGTAGATAAGAAGGAAGAAAGCAGAAGTAGCTAAAAATGTTCCCTTTGGGGTGTTTCCCCAAGACACCATATGTTCCCTTTTGGGTGGTTTAGGAGTTTCCCTAAGACACCATATGTTCCCGGGTGGGTTAGGATATTGGGTGTTTCCTTTGCTGTCCTTTTATGACCTTGCATTCATGGTTCTGCAAGTGGCCAGAGACAGCGGGGCCATCTGCACGTATTCACAATTAATACTGTCCTCTAAGTCCAGGTCAACATAATAAGAGAAGGACAAATTTGGAAAAGGATACATAACAGTTACATTTGCATGCTCAGTCAACATGAAATCACCTGGCCCAATATTTTATTTCCCATCCTGTAACTTCTAAACTTTTTCTCTCAGATCCATAGACAAATCCCCAAGTTACAGGTCTTTCCTTTATCTTGCAAAACAGTCCCATAGCATTAATACTAGATTCCCCAAGGAGATATCCTTACTTCTGTAGAAGGCTTATTCTTTAAATTCTCAGCAATCACTATCCCAAGGAGATGTTGTTCTATAGAAGAAGGTGTTATTCTTTAAATTCTCAGCATGTGGTGATGGAGATAGTAAAGCCCTCTACACATATTCAGAAGTTCCAAAAGGTTTTGTGGTATAGGTTTGGGTTCAAATGAAGCTGAGCACAGCAT